ATCCATGAAAAAAAAATATGAGCACGTATTATATTTAATAGCTCAAATGTTATCTTAATTCTTTATCAACAATTCATGCAGATAGCTTAATACCAAATATTTTAGTTAAGATTAACAGCCTGTGAAACAGAAGGCTTGGCGAACGAGAACTGGGTCTGCCTCAGCTGTGTGAGGAGGCACAACAGCCACTGGGAGGCTGGGTCATGCATGAGGTATTCGTTTTCTGCCAAGTAAATGCAGGCGGATTTGGAAAATATTATGTCTATCGTGGGCCTGATTTATACTCCCTGTGGAAGGTAATGAAGCCTGTGTCCAAACTTATTTTTGTTCCTTTTGCAAAAGCTTTCCCCTGAAATGAAAGATAGGCTCCTGCCTGTTTCTCCTTCTCCATGCGGTAGACTCTCCTTAAGCATGTCCCGTAACCCCGATCTCTCTTTTGAACTCAGCAAAACATCTCATTAGTAAAGGCAAGACTGGGCTCCTTGTAATCTTTCCCCAGCCGAGGCAAAGCTACACAATTTACAATAGATCTTCAGAAAACTGCTTTTTTTTCCTTTTTTTTTTTTTTAAATCGAGGGCGGCTGCTTCTATAGATCTCTCTCAATTACCCACAGTAAATTTAGGCATTGTGCAAGAGCAAATTTTACAGTCCATGAAGAGATGAACTGAAATCGAGATGAAATTCATTGTGACACATTCCCAGTTAGCGCCGTGATGTGTCTGTATTACAGAAGATAGACGTTCTATTAGCATGGAAGCTCCCATAATGGACTGTGAATCATCTCAGGTAATAGAGATGCCAAGCGGAATGAATGAAAAGCGCTATTGGATTCCATTAGCGCCCTTTGTTTTTAAATCAGTCATTTCTCGTGAATAACCAACTCTACACTTCTTGACCCTAGCTCCGAGTGATAATTGTGAACTGGTATCACAATGCATTAATCTGACTTACTGTGTAATTAGTAGTGTGGTTGAGAACTTATTTGGGGTTTCCTAAATGCAGAAGTCTGGGCCTTTTCAAGCTGGACAGTGTATTATAAAACACGTAAATTGGTAAAAATAGCCTTGGTGAGACTAGTTTTAATTCTATTTCAACATCTGTGAAATTATTCTCTCTCATCCTGCTTATTTGGGATTTTATATTGTGTCTTTACTGCTTTCTGCCCTCTTTGCTGTTCTTTCTTTAATTGATGTCCCCTTACCCAAGGCTTGACACCAGGACAGAATACTATCCCAAAGTATCCTAAAGGTAGATTTTTAAAGGAGGTGGTTTAATTAAACCACTACGTTTTTTTTTTTCCCTCTCTATTTAAGATCCTCGCTGGGCAGTCACTCATCAACAAAAAAAGATCAGCATCGCATTTCATTTCACCAGCAGCCTCACCCGATCCGTCAATAAACCATGATTGGTCAGATGCAGCCATTGGTCTGGTAATTAGTGCAGGGTTTATATAGTACAGTTTAAATCTGGTGTCTTTAGGATGCCTGCCCAAGTGCTGCTTGTGCAGTAGATCGAGATGCAGGAATTCTAGTCAATTACACTACAAACAAGAAGCGTTTAGACATCCTGGACAAGCATTAATTTCCTTTTAAAAATTACATTTGAATTAATTAGTTAATTAATTGTGTGTGGTGTGGTACATGAGACAGTATATAAGCAGAAGTCAGAGGATAAAGGAGTTGGATGTCTTCTCCCACCATGTGGGTCCTGGGGATCAAACAGAGGCATGAAGCTTTTACCCAGTGAGCCATCTTGCAAGCCCCAAACACATATTTCTTAATTCACTGCATCTAATATAAATGTGTTGACTTGTCACAAGACAAAGCTGCATTTGTCCCGAAACTCTGAAATGGGTATGTATACGTTTCAGACACATCCCCAGTGCACACACACACACACACACACACACACACACACACACACGATTTACAAGGCAGGAACAAGGCAATTTTTGCAAAAGGACGATAGCATCCAAAGTAAGCAGAGCAACACAACTCCAGTTGCTTTAATATTTCCCCATAAATCCCCCGAGACACCTTTAAGAAGAGCCCACTCTACGTCTTCCATCTATGCTCATCTGTTTCCACACCAGGATGAACAATATTATCCTCATCTGCAGGAGAATGTGAGAGGAGAGAGCCTCCGTTCGAGGCTTTCTCCTTAATGTTGTACTGACAGGTGTAAGATTAACTTTGTTAGGTGTCTAGTCACTCATGCAAACTAAATTAAATTAATGGAACAAATTTCTCTCATAATTAAGATAAAAATTCATGTCAGCTGTAACCTTGCTGTACACTAATTATATACAAATGATTTATCATCTGCTTCGCCCAGAATATTAATCCTTACCTCATTGATAACTGTAGTCAGTGTTAAGAGATGAAAGTTGATTAAATATGACAGATTAGGCAACCACGGCCCTCGGTGCCGGCACTACAGTGAAACCAATATCGCTCAAGTCGCTCTCTGTGTCTCAAACGCATTCCCATGGAAACAGATGCATGCTTAATGAAGGATGCTGAGATTATTTTCAATAATGACTGATATTGGAACAGTGGGCAGAGCTGATCAATAACAATTAGCCACTGAGCCTGCTAAAGACATGGTTAGAGAAAACAGGTTATTTACACATTAGTGGGACCTTAGCCGAAGACAAATGCCCTGTAATGTCTCTATGCTATAGCATGTGTGAGTATGCATGGCTCTTCCTTTCCTGCCTGGGAGGGGCTCCGTGGCAGAGGGGTGGTATTGTGCCAAGCGCCCTCCTGTCGCCTCTGAACTCCTGCTTATGAAATGAGTGATTGATGCTGCCAGCGGTTCTTTGGTGTTCTGAAGAGAGCTGCCAAGTGTATCGGGAAAAGTCCAAAGGCGGCTGTGACCATGAAACTAATATTGCTTTGTAGGGATTTAGTTTGAGGAAAACTTTGCTGCCAAGGCGTAACTCAATTGTAGAGAAAATTCTTTTGATCCTTCACTGTAGGCTCTGTCATTTAATTTTAAAGAATCCAAGATGAGTCGCGCAGATATTTAAGGAAAACCTCGGCCTTGGACTCCCTGCATACTAGCTGTAAAATATTTTAATAACATAAATTTAATAATAGATCTGGCTTTCAAGTCTATTTGGAAATTTGCACTTTTATTTTGTATTAATTTGAATCACCCCAGGAGCCAAGATCTTGTAATGCTAATTACTTATAGAGACTCCCAGGATCCCTACCCTGACAGTCAGCTTGGAGAAATCCCAACTCCCTGGGCCAAAAAGTGTTAATAAAAAGTGATTAGCTACTCGGGCCGGGCCCCATTATAATAAAGCATTATAGTCCCCGTGAATGGGCTATGTGCATTCTCATTTCTCTGAATGAAGAAAATGGTTGAGGGAGATGAAAACCTGAGCATTGCAGCAGGCATTGTTACCAAAAGAATCAAGCTTTGAAAAATAAAGGAGCCTGTTCTTTCTTTACACTTTACACTTCCCGACTCAGATCTGAAAACACAGTGACGCATGAGGCACATCCTCAGTCTGGTTCGTCTGTTTGTTCTGGTGTGGGAAGCTAAGTGTGAACACATGCAGGGGGTTCAAATGCTGACCCTCAGAGGTTCCGTGTGTGTGAGGAGTATTTTCTTTCCTTTAAAGATTTATTTGTATTCCTATTTATGTGTACATGTTTGTTTCTATATATGGGTATGCAAACACGACTGTAGTGCCCACAGAGGCCAGAAGGGGGCGTCAGACACCCTAGAGCTGGAGTTCACAGGGGTTGTGAGACACCCAGTCTGGATGTGCAACTCTCTGTTCTTAAGGCTGAACCATTTTTCCAGCTCATGTCAGAATCTTGATACTTAGGTAGAGCGTACAGTATTTGTCTTCCTTTAATCCTGTGGGACAGAGATGCTCTGTACTCAAATCATCAACCACAGGGCATCCACGGCTGAGACTCCACACAGATGCTAATAAAGCCGGAACAATATTATTGTGACAGGACAAAAATGGATCCTAAGCAACTAGTTCGAGTGCAGCCGACAGGAAACCAGTTGACAGGTTTCCATCAGGAAGGCAAACGGGCGTGTCGGAGTCTCAGATGATACTGGGTCACTTCGGCTTTCTTTTAGCATCTTGATAAACAAGTAGAACACCTATAAAGAGCCCTCCACAGAGAGCACAACTTAATCCACTCCCATGAAGCCACTCAATATCTCGCCCTTGCCTCCACCAAAAACCAAACACACAGCCTAATGTTTTGTTGTCTCTCCAAGTGGAGCTAGAGTTGCATTTAATACAAAGGTAACCATGGAATAATATTGTATTTTTCTAAGCACAGTGGATAGATAGCATGGTATGCGAATAAAACGTGGGTCTCAGGGTAAAGTTCATTAGTTCACATAGTTGCTCTCACTGTGTGCATTTATTACATTCCTCTTTTATTATTTTATTTTATTCATTATTATTGTTTTGGTGGTCGTGGTGCTCATGTGCGAAGGTCAGAGGGCAGCTTCTGGGAGTCTGTTCTCTCCTTGTCCTTTATGAGGGTCCTGGGAATTGAACTCAGGCAATCAAGCTTGTATGGTAACTCGGTCAGCAATTTCGCTGGCCCTGTTTACAGTCTTTTTGAAAACACCATGGTCTGCTGTCTAGGCTGAGGACTTGCTCTCGCTAGCTAGTCCGGTTTCATCCTCTCCACACCTACCGTGGCTGGAAACGGAGTCGGGGCAATTACCCTTCCTCGACCGTCTGAACAACACAATTATTGGGAAGATAATAAGATTATCCAGGCTTTTGCTTCTTCAAATGATACTGAGGAATTCTGACTGAGTACTATCTCGCATGCATTCATCTTTAAAACAAATAAGGGAAGTGCAAACGTGCCTTTGGGCTAATGAGGACCCCGAGACAGGGCTGGAGATACATTTTCTCACTCGCCTAATGAGCAAAGTGACAGATAGGGAGGCTTTCACAGTTGAGTAATTCTCCAGCAGCAGCAAGCGTAGGAGCCTTCCTGCCTGCGGAAGGTTGGGGAGGGGGGTGGTCTGAGATGAAATAGACACACCCCGACTACGCTGGCCAGAGTGAGCTGTCACCCAGAGAGGAAGTCTTCCGGCAAACTCCATGAGGAGACTGAGCTAGGAAACAAACAGAACAATAACAACAAAAATCATTTCCCTCCTGACTTTCAATTAGAATTCAATGAAAACAATGGGCAGGAAAAAAATTAAAATGTCACTTGTTCCTTATCAGGCCAGCTACCTGGAAGGATCGTGAAGGCAACTGCCGCACCAACTGGAATGGAGTGCTGATGTATCTGGGCCTCTCCCCTTGCAGGGCCTTGGTGTTGGGCAGGCTTAGTTCTCAGGCAAAGTGAGAAAGTTGAAGGAATGCTAAAGGCAGTAAAGGTGGGGGAAGGGGCAGGGGTGAGAGAGATGAAGGTGGGTTTCTATGGAGCACTCCCCGAAGCCCACTGGACAGTTCATGGAGTGAAGGGGTGCTGGGGAGAGGGCACATCTTGAAACTCCTTTATTTTTGTTAGGAAACCCTTCCACACCACCTCTGTGTCAGGACGATCCTTCCTGTGCCCTCTTGCCAGCTGTGGAAGTAGGCTGCGTTAGCTGCTGGAAAGGGTACAGGCTGAGGAACGAAAGCCTAAGGAACTTGCTCCGGCTCTCCTGGCTAGCAAAGGAGAGTGTGGAATCCGCTGTCAGTCTGTCACGCTTCAAACCCAAGGTCAGTTCTCCTCACCATCAGGAAATTGACACAGGGCAAAGAGCCAAGAAGCTAGCCACAGAAACGTGTGGAACGATCAGTCTCAGCCCTTTAAAAGGTAAGTTTTACCGGCTGGTGAGATGACTCAATGGGTAAATGGCACTTCCTGCATGCCTGACGACCTGAGCTCAATCCCTGAGACCCACAAAGTAGAAGAAAAAAATCCAATTTCCAAAAGTAGTCTTTGAATGCCATGGCACACACACCAACACATATATGTTTAGACAAAGAGATAAATAACACAAAATCCCTTTACATATTTGTTAAATCACATCTAACACTTATACACATTAATGGGGTAGAATGCCATACTTTTCTACAGGCACAAAGTGTATAATGAACAAACCTGGGAAAGCAGGATTTCTGCTTCCTCCAGCAATAGTTCCACATGTTTGCAACCTTCCAACTCTTCTAATCATTTAGAACTAGTCAGAAATCAGTGAAGGTGCCAGAAGTTATGATTCGGTTCCTAGTAACACACACACACACACTCTCTCTCTCTCTCTCTCTCTCTCTCTCTCTCACACACACACACACACACACACGCACACACACACATGCACGCACGCACGCACACACACACACACACACACTCTCTCTCTCACACACACACACGCACACACACACATGCACGCACGCACGCACACACACACCCTCACACACACTCACACACTCTGCGGGTTCCAAGCTGTAGAGGTAGAGGTAGAAGGATTGGGAGTTCAAGGTCATCCTCAGCTACTTAGCAAGCTCAAGTCAGCCTGAGAAACATAAGACCTTAAAAAAGAAAAGGAAGGAAGAAAGGGAGGGAGAAAAAACTGTAGGAGACTAAGAAACCTTATTGCACTCTAGAGACTAGAACTGTTCTAGAGCCAATTTCCCAAGTTATCTACCCTCCCCCAGGCACCACCTCCCAGGCTTTGTCAACCACCTTCTCCATTCCTCCCTGGTATGGATTTCCTCAGGCGGACACGAAGTGCCGGTCTCTCTGGCTCGTTCTTCTTAACACGGCGTCCTTCCTTCTTCTCTATGTTACTGTAAAAGATAGGATTTCATTTTTTCATTGCCTGAAAAATAGTCCATCATGTATGCACACCACACCTTCCCTATCCACTCATCTCTCAGTGGACACACCCATGATCATACATGTCTCGGTCACTGTTGACCACACAAGAGGAAACTTGACACTAGTGAATTCCCTGTCCACAGATGGGGACCTAGAGCTCTGTCTGTCCCCATCTGTGTCTCTCTGTGTCTCTGTAGCTATGTGTGCATGCGTGCGGGAGTGTGCTAACACATTTGTGCACACGCATCTGGAGACCAGAAGACAGTCTCGGCTGCCATTACTTAGGTGCTGGCCACCTTAAGTTTTGTTTGTTTGGTTGATTTTGTTTTGTTTGAGGCAGTCTCTTCCTGGCCTGGAACTTGTGGAGGGATTGAGGCCGGCCGGCCAGTCTGTCCCAGGGGTCTATTTCCACCTCTACAGTGGTAGGATGATAAGCAGTCTTTCCCATGACCGGCTTTTTTTTTTTTTAAACATGCATTTTGGAGATTGAACTCTGATCCTCAAGCTTCCAAGGTAAACAATTTACTGACTGAACCTTTCACCAGCCTTAATTTGTTTTACTTCCTTCATGAAGACAATCACCATTTTGTGGAAAGTGAAACAGAAATCGAGGGAGTCTGAGGTCTGAGAACAAGCTGTAAGTCACACCAATAAAAAGGATAAAAGCAGGACTTACCTAAGCATCCTCCATTCCCTGTGATACCACAGCTGACTGCCCATGTGTAGAGGAGGAAGGTACTCCAATCTAGCACTGATAAACCACGAGAAAAACACAGTATCTTCTGTAAACCGAGGCTTACATTTTGTTTGCTAAGAATGTTTGGAGGGGCTGGGGATATAGCTCAGTGGTAAAGTGTTACTGGGGATGTCCAAGGGCTCACATTCAATTCCCAGTACTATAAAAATGATTGGAGGGGAAACCATAACTGAAACCATTCCAGCTATATTAGCTTCAGGAAAAACAACGCATATAAGAATTTATGGGGCTGGGGAGATGGCTTAGTTGGTTAATGTTTGCCTTACAAACATCAGAGCCCATAAGGAAAAAAACAAAGAGCTAGGTGCTGTGGCACGTGCTAGTTTGTAATCCCAGGGCTGGAGAGGTAAAGGTAGGCAAATCCCTGGGCTTCATTTGCTAGCTGGTCTAGCCTACTTATTGGACTCCGTGCTAGAAGAGAGGACAAGGTGGATGGCAGCTGAAGCCCAACAGCTAAGTTGTCTACTACGTGCCTGAGCTTACAACAAAACCGAACTTGTACTCACACAAACACACATGCACAGGAACACATACACAGAGTAAATAAATGCCTTCAGAAAAATAACAATAACCCCTATCAGTGCCCGTTAGCTACAACATGAAGTGCATGCTGCAGTGTTTTGAATGAGAGTGGCCCCCAAATGCTCAGATGTTTGAATACTTGGTCCTTAGTTGCTGTAACTGTTTGGGAAGGATTAGGAGGTGTGGCCTTGTTAGTGTGTCTCTAGGAGCCGGCTTTGAGGTTTCAGCCATTTCCAATTAGCTTGCTCCCCTCCTCCCTCTCCCTCTTCCATCTCCTTCTCCCCACCCTTGCCTCCTCACATGGATAAGATGTGAGCTCTTAGCTACGGCTCCAGTTCCATGCCTGCCTGTTGCCATGAATCAATCCTCCGAGACTCTAAGCCCCAAGTAAACTCTTTCTTCTATAAGCTGCCTTTATCATCATGTCTTATCCCAGCAATAGAAAAGCAACTAAGACACATCCTGGTCACTTAGCAGAGACAAGACAAGATATATAAGCTATTACCATTCTTACTTAACGCATAAGCAATCTGAGCCTGAATATAGAAAAAAATGGCATTTAACCATTGTTTTACCCCTTTGCCACAGCAATTTGCTGTGACTTAATGACTCAAGCTCAACACTAGTTCCCAGGGTACTAAAAATTCAGTTTGTTCAGCCTTCAGCATTTGTATGTGTGGTAGTAGTGCAAGTGTGTGCACGCAGGTGTGTGTGTGCGTGTAGTGGGGTACATCCCAGTGTAGCCCAATGATCAGAGGCAGACATGGGGTGTCCTTGGCTATCACTCTTTGTTGTATCCCATTAAGACAGGATCTCTCACTGATCGTGGAGGTAGGCTGACAGCCAACAATTCTTTTGTCTCCTCCTTCCACGGTGCTGAGCTTCCAGGCACATATGGCCATGCCCAGGTTTTTACATGAATGTCGGGGATTTAAACTCAGTGCTTCATGCGTATGTGGCAGGCATTCTTACACAGCGAGCCACCTCCTCACCAACCATTTGTTTGGTGCCGTTTATGCTCCACCTGCACACAGCTCCAAACCTGTCTGATGTTGGCACATTCTGCATCTCCTCGGTGCTTTAATAACCACTGTGGCTCTGAGCGGAGACTCTGAGCCGGGAGCCTGCGCTCCATCTTTTAGAGCGCCTTTACTTTATTCAAATTACTAATCACTCAGAACATTGCTAAAAGCCTTTCTCCCTTGCTCCCCATGCATGCTTAACCTAATTAACTATAAATGAGGAAAACGCTATCCAGATTAAAAGAAAATGTTAACCTATAAATTATCAGACTCTTTTTGTGAAGCTAAGGACATCTTTAAAAAGCCCCACGCTGAGGGCAGATTCTCAGTTCATCAGAGTCCAGCGCCTTCCTTAACTCACACAGACCACAAAACCATCTGTCCACAGTGACCGTGGTCTCTGTGTTCAGTACAATGTTATTTGCTTTCAATTTACTCTCTCTGTGTTTGTTAAAACATTCCCAGGAAAGCCAGGCATAAAGGCACACACCTTTAATCCCAGCACTTAGGAAGCAGAGGCAGGAGGATCTCTGTGGGTTGAAGGCCAGTGTGGTCTACGTAATGACTTTCAGGATAGCCAGAGATACATAATAGAGACATTGTCTTAATACACACCACACACACACACACACACACACACACACACTCCCAAGAAACGGGATAATTGAGCAGAAAGCCCTTAAACTACCCCAGGAGCCTAATGGGGCAGAAACATATGGAGTAACATCCTTGCCCCTCATTGCAGAGACTCTTGGTCCCCGCCTGTCTCTTACAGGCAGATCCAGCCAGCAGAAGCAGTGTCTGGAAACCCTCAGTTCACAGATTTCTAAACAATATACCTAACCTAGTCCCTGGAGCCTTCCTGCTGGGCTCCTGGAAAATTCTGGGCAGCACAAATGGGGCAACTCTCTTGGAGGTTTCTTGTTAGGAGGAGAACACATTTGCCTGGCCATCTGAAAGCCCAGTTTTGTAGTTGGACTTTCTTCTCCACTGCCAGTCAACCCCCAAATAATGACACAGACTTATTATTTTATTAATTATGAAAGCTTGGCCTCTAGCTAAGGCTTGTTTTCTTTTCTTTTCTTTTTTTTTTTTTTTGGTTTTTTGAGACAGGGTTTCTCTGTGGTTTTGGAGCCTGTCCTGGAACTAGCTCTGGAGACCAGGCTGGTCTTGAACTCACAGAGATCCGCCTGCCTCTGCCTCCCGAGTGCTGGGATTAAAGGCGTGCACCACCACTGCCCGGCTTGGCTTGTTTTCAACTAGCTCTTATAACTTAAATTAAGCCATATTTTTATTAATCTACGTTCTATCTCATGGTTTTTACCTCGAGCCCATTCTGTATGTCCAAGGAGTTCCACGTCTGACTGGTCTCTTGCATGCCTAGATTCATTTCATTTCTTCTCTTTGCCCGGAAGTCCCGCCTATCTCTCCTGCTTAGCTATTGGCCACTTAGCTCTTTATTAAACCAATCAGAAGGCACCTTAGGCAGAGACACATATTTACAGAGTAATATTCCACGATGCATTTGATATACCAAATTGTTCTTGAACTTACCGTTGAAGGCTGAGGAAGGAACAGTATGGAACAACACTGTGTGACCTTTTCTGGAGAAACGCGAACAGAAGTAATTTTCCCCAGTCAGGGTACCAACAACAGATTAAAGCAATGATTCCCCAAGAGTCTAGCTAAGTGAACCAGCAAATTACTGGGATTACAGAACCACAAGCAAGTTAAAGACATGCTCAACACCACTGAGAAGCCCACTCCAACCTGGTGATGGCTCAGGAAGTCTGCATCCCTGAAGCTCTCCACCACTAGCAGGGACTCCACCCGCCTCTCAGAGGACACGCTTGTCAATCTGGTTTAGGAGCTTCCTCAGAAATTGATTATGTTATGTGTACTTTCTGTCTCTTAACACTTCTTTCTCCAGGAGCAGTCGTCTCAGTTTGGAGGAAGTAGTTACGCAACAAACAGGAAACTGGTAATTGGGAGGGAGGAGAGGCTTTGAGAGCATCCTCTCCTGAAGCTGAGGGAGGAAGGTCTAGAGGAAACTCACATAGGCGCTGGCCCAGGGCAGGGGAGAAGGTACGGGCATGAAGTAGAGATCTCCAGGGCAGAAATTTCCTCTTTTAAGTTGCTCTCCACTGTTGTTGTTGCTTTTAATGTGGGCAACATGTTAGGACAGACTGGAACCACTGTTAGAGCACAGAGCTTCTAGCATCCTCTCCCTCATCCCCCAAATTAGGCCACACCCCACGCACCTGTCTCTTTAAGGTCAGCTCCAAGAGCTGCTGTGACCTTACAGCTCCAGTCTCCTCACTTCCTTGTGTGGCTGTGACCAGTTTCCTGATGCTCGGACCCATGACAACCGTCAATGATATCTAGAGTCTTGTGATTCTTGGCACAGAGGCTGTGTCACATCGTGTGGGTCACCCTCCCTCCCCGAAGAAAACCTGTGAGACTCAGAATCCCTTTTGCTCCCTGGGATTGAAGGGTCTATTTCTCCCTTTAGTAACTCGTCAGGTTGTCTACCACAGGCGGCTACAACTCTTCATATTCTGGGAATGGAAGGGAATTGGAGCTCTCTCCCTGAAGGAGCCTGTCACGCTGTACACCGCAGCTATCTCTCCTAATGTGCTCCCACTGCAGGGTCCCTCATGGCCATGCATGACCATTATGCTGTCCCCCTAATAATGCTCTTCTGAAGGGCAATTCATCTCCGCTTCCTCTCCACATGCCTGTCCTTTGCCATAAGTTATAACAGTGACTAAGAAGGTGCAGCTGGCACAGAGAATTCCAGACTCTCCCATGCCCGTCGCTTTGACTGAGGCTCAAAGCAAACCACAGCTCGCCCCCCCCAGTTCTAGGGGCAGCTCTGGTCTCTGGGTTATTATTAGCACAAGACTTCTGTTCGCTCTCCAGGATTGCTGGGGCTTATAGCTCCACTCCTCCCTGGGTTCTGGCGAGCAGGAGTAATGGAGGCTGTGCTCCCACCACTGGGGAATACCAGAGACCCAGCAGGCTTAGTATCCACATGTGCGGTCAATTCTTGATTATCCACACCAGTGATCTGTGACCCAGCCGCAGGTAATCCCAAGCAACTGACAATCCAACAGGAATTCCTCTTTGGTTTTGGAATAGGCTCTGATTTTTCCAGCTTCAGATCCCTCGCGGACATATACATTCCTTGGTTGGTTATTAAAAATCATTTATGTTCCTTTAGTTGAGCAGTTGGTCTGAGCAATGACTTGAAGTCTGCTTCAGATTGAAAATTTGCCTACCGTATTGACAAATGATTCCCTGGCAGACAGTTGAATTTGACAGCACCATATATTATATTAAGAATCATCTTCCAGGGGCTGGTAAGATAGCTTACTGGCTAAAAGCACTTGGTACAGAGGCGTGAGAACTTGGGTTCAAATCTCCAGCAGCTATGGGAAAAACCAGGCATGGCTGCACATACATGTAAT